AAAAGTAATGATGCCTCAGTAAGCAAAGTGTTTGCTGTCCAAGGATGAGAACCTGAGTTCAGATTCCCAGCACCCATGTAGAAAGCTGTGTGTGGCACACGCCTGTAATCCAGCACTGGAGAGTGTGTGGTGACACACACACCTGTAATCCAGCACTGGAGAGTGTGTGGTGACACACACCTGTAATCCAGCACTGGAGAGTGAGAGGGGACACACACCTGTAATCCCGCACTGGAGAGTGTGTGGTGACATGGACCTTTAATCTGGAGAGTGTGTGGTGACACACACACCTGTAATCCTGCACTGGAGAGTGTGTGGTGACACTCACACCTGTAATCCCACACTGGAGAGTGAGTGGTGACATACTCACCTGTAATCCCGCACTAGAGAGTGTGTGGTGACACACACATCTGTAATCCCGCACTAGAGAGTGTGTGGTGACACTCACACACCTGTAATCCCAGCACTGGAGAGTGTCTGGTGACACACACCTGTAATCCCAGCACTGGAGAGGTGGCACAGGTGGGTTCCTGGAGCTCCCAGGCCAGCCTGGCCAGCCAAATCAGTGATCTCCATGTTCAGTCTCCAAAAGCAAGGTGGGGCACACCTTGGTGGCAGGAAGTAGAGAGATGAAGCTGGAGCTGAACTGGAGGCTCCATTCCTTCGGGCTGGCATGCCTACTACCTGCTGGCAGGTGCCAGGTAAGCTGCTAGAGAAGAAAAGTCACCAACAGCCCTCTACCACTGGGGGCCCTTCGACCCATAATACCAACCTGCTAGGCAAATGCCAGCACTGGCAGTAGAGGCATGACTGTTAGCGGGGTGAACGGCAGAGCCCTGACACAGCTCTCAGGCCACAGAAGAGAACCCATGCCTGGTACTATAAACCTGTTCAAAAACTCAGGGTTAGGCAGGTCATGGGCCCTGGGGATGGGGAAGGACTCACTACTGTTGTTTCCATAATCTGACATCACAGAATATTGCCTTCTAAATATTTATGTTTATATTCATAGATATATGCTACTCTCAGCCTGGATCAGAGAAACTTCTCTTTGCAGTGAATAGAGAGACTCATGACTGCTCTAGCCATGATTGATGAGCACTCAGCCTTAAAAAAGACATTTATATCATTTACTCAGGGAATATCCAGAGAAGGTGGTAGAAAGGGTGTAAGAACCAGATGATAGAGAGAAGGGTGACACAATTCATGACCCCACAGCAGTTAAGGTCACCTGCCCTGGGCCTGAACTGGGCATCACTCAATACCAGTTCATCAGGGAGCCAAGGCCCAATATGAGCTTTAGTGGAAACAGAGCCATATTCAAACCACAGTAGAGAGGATGAGCCAGAGGAGGAACTAGATGATGACCAGAAGATCACAGGTAGGTGAGCAGAGCTCGGGGCTCAGGTACCTCTCAGAGGGACACAGTCTGAGCCAGTTTAGGATTCCAGCTGTGTCCTGATCGCCCCCTTTGAACAACTACTACCTGAGGGATCCCTACAGATCTCACCTGCCACCTGCTCACCCAGCCTTAGTCTAGAATCCCACAGTTGTGTCCCCAGCTGCTATCACCCTCCTATCTGAAGAGACAGCCAACTCCCACAGCTTCTGGTGGGAATCAGTTATTTGACTTGTCAGGTCCCTAAGGGAGACCCTAATGAGCCACTGCCCTGGCGACCTTGGAGGAGCTGGCCCAGGTGTACTTCAGAGTCAAAGGTCACCATTCTTCACTCTCCCTTTCCAAGGGGTCTCTCTCAAAATGTCCTGTAGGGAAGACGCACTTGTGTCCTCCAGGACCCCCTCCATCTTGGGTACGGCTTTGCTCGGCCATGCCGGCCTTTGGATGAGCCGGCACAATAGCTCATGGAGAAGCCCTCCGGCTCTGCCAGCAGCTCTGCCCGCTTCCACTTACCCCTCCACAGGGTTCCCCAACTCTGAGAAACAGATTTCCAAAACATCCTTCCCCTTTGATTTTCTGGAACTTTCCTTGACTTTCTCTCAACCTTTTCTCCAAAAGGCCAAAACTTCTCTTCTTCCTTTTTAGATACAGTTGTCTTAGGTATTACTCCACCAGATTCAGCATCAAATTCAGACCAAAGGCCCAACAGGGCTCGTTCCTTCCATCTCCCACAGGAAGTGTCCCCTGGGAGCTGCAGGAACTACTGAGTCCAGAATGCGTGTGGCCCAAGTGGTGCGTTTCTTGGGGTTACCAATGCTGTGTTTCCTTTGGGGCTGAACCCCAATTACTGCCCCAGCCAATGTCTGACCGCTGAGTCACAGATCCACAATGCCACAACCACATGCCCTACACACACACACACACACACACACATACACGCACACACTGTTTGGGGTCCACCTTCTCACTGGCATTGTCCAACACAGAGTGGCATTTTCTTGAATCTTACTCAGCTCTCAGGATGGTGGAAGAGTCTGGTACAGATCTCTTCCTGTGGTGTAAATGCTTCTCTAAGCTGAAGTGTTCCTTCCTGGAGACTCAGGAGGCCCAGAAAGCAGACAAAAGCCGCACAATTCACAGGATCCTGCCCCAAAGTTATAAAAGTAAAAATCAGTTGCTGGGGAGAGGAGACTTTTTCTGAGGGAGCTGTATGGGGAACCCCAGGGATGCAATTTTCATGAGTTGCCAGCCACTCCTGGGGAGTGAAGGGGGAGAGGAAGTGGAATGGGGAGAAATATGCCAAGACATAAGCAAGGGTCACACAATTAGGAAGAATTCTGTAAAGAATGAACAATGTTGTGGGGCTAGGGAGATGAATCAGTGGGTAAAAACACTTGCTGTATAGGGTTGAAGACCTGAGTTCAAATCCCACAACTCACTTAAAAGCTGGGCATGTTAGCATGCATCCGGAATCCAGTAGTGAGCTTCCCAGTGGTGCAAATGCCTTTGCATCACCCATGCTCCTGTAAGTAACCCCAGTGCCCTCACTCACAGGCTCACCAAGCGGATCTTGAGTAGCGACATGTCTTTGATTTGCCGTCCACGCCCTATCTGGGATGAACAGATGTCTTCCCGGGAAGGCAATACAACACAGTTGTTCTCTGAGTCCCCTCCACTCCCAGAGACTCACATTGCACTTTTTCCCTCCTAATTTTCCTCACTGCACAGTCCAGGCAACCCTGGAGCTGGAGACATTGCCGCAGACTATAAGCACTGTTTCCTTCCCAGAGCTGGAAACTCTGGGAGACATTTCCTGTGTTCTACCCATGAGACTAATGGAGCGGAGCTTTGAGCATCTGAACCTCTGGTGGCCATTTCCTATCTTATCAACCACAACCTTCCAGTTCAAAGACATTCACCACTAATCCTCATGGCCAGCCACTGCATGCCAAGTATTTCACCAACATGGCCCATATCAGTTCTTATAACACTGTGTAAGGGGCCAAGCCACAGGCTGATATTAAGTCCCCAGAGTCTGGGGACAGTGACTGTTTCCTTCAGATTCAAAGACTTCTTTTGCCCAACATGTCCTGCTCCCCCACACATACTGTACGCGGTGCAGAGCCCTGCAGATCTGGTGACCATGGGGCCCACAGGCCTGCTCAGCTGGGGGAACTCACCATGCCTCCGGTGCATTCGCGACAGTCCTGGAGGCAGCTGATAGTCTCCCAGGTGCTGTAGGCTTTCAGGCCAGCCATTAGGGCCTGTAGTGAGCGCCTGTTGATGAGCTCCCTCCCCTGGAAGATGTCTTCATCCAGGACAAAGGCCGCATGCCTGTGAGACAAAGGAGAGACGTGTGGTGGGTACAGCAGTGGCACACCCACACGGAAGAAGCACGCACGAGACCCCAGTTACCACCCAAGATCCCCTTCAAAACTGTCACCACTGAATTCACACATCTCCACCACATCGCTCTCCCCTTGTAAATGCTCCCCTTCACTCCCAGCCCGAGAGCACGTTTCTGCACTCAGTCCCTAAACCCCGTCGCTAACGCTGGCCTCTGCTCCACGCTTCTCTGTCTATGTATAGGACCGTGTTCCATATTATTTTCTTCTGCCGACTACGCAGTAAGTTTTGCATACCTTGTGAGGTGGTCATTTTTTAAAGTCCCCGTCTACTGGAAATTCTTCCATGGGTTGTATAGGAAATAGAATAATGGTCCCCAAAGAAGGGCATATTCCTACCTCCGGAACCTCATGTGTGTGTGTCACCTCATATGGCAAAAGGGACTTGGGAGATGTGATTAAAGCAGGGTCCTGGGGATACGGCTGGGCTGAGGTAAGCACAAGTGTGTGTGTATGAGAGGAAGGGACTAGAGACAAGAAGAGGAGGGAAGAACCGAGGTAACGCGGCCCTGGGGAGCAAGTGGACATTGCTGGCTTTGCAGGTGGAAGGAAGGGACAAGACAAGCAATGAGGCGGCCCCAGAAAGCTTGTAGAAGATCAAGGATGTGGACGCTCCTTCAAGTCTCCAAAGGAAGGCAGACTTGCCAAGTCCCTGATTTCTAAGCCAGCAGGCCTCATTTTGACTTCCAACTCCCAGAACTGTAAGAGTATAATGCTGTGCTGTTTTGTGCCACCAAGTCTGTGGATTGCAGTTGCACCTTCCACAGTTCGACTGAAGTGTGGTCAACTAGGATCTGAAAATACTCAATGGAAGATTCCAAACGTAAACAGGTCATAAGTTTTCAACTATACGCCATCTTGGGCAGCATGCTAAAACCTCACAGAATCTCATTGTGCCTTGTCTGGAGCACAAATGATCTCTCACGTATCTGAATCGTATCCATTCTAGCCACTCACTAGTGACTTGTGGGAGTCGTAGTTATCCGACTGACTATGGTCCTGCCGAGGTGCTTGTGTCCTGGTAACCTCTGCATGGATGCCTGACACGGCATGCCAATGCCTGTATGGTTCCTCTCACTTTGGCCACCTCTCAGGCCCTGCCTTAATCACACCGTAAGAATGGTGGGCGCAGTACAATCAGACATTTTGAAAGAGAGACGGATCACATCCACAGAACATCTTTAAAACACATAGTTACACTCATACTATTTTGTTATTAGTTACTGCGGCTAATTTCTTACATTGCCCAATTTCATAAATTATATAGATTTGTTATAGGCATGTATGGAAAACTAGTATGTGTCGGGTTTGCTGTCACCCATGGCTCTAGGCATCCACTGGGTATTGGAATGGATTCCAAGAGGTGAGAACAGTTATAGTTATAGCAGTAGCCGGAGGCTAATGCAGGTTGTGACTAATTCCTTCTTCAAAATGTTTTCACCCATCTGTGGGTGTGACTTCAACACAACGTCACGTTTGCTGGTCTCCCCGTGTGTGCCCTTTCACCTCCACAGTTCTTATTCTCTTTCTGTATTTCAAAATGCCGTAGTTGAAGAGGGCCAGGTTTTCTTTCACTCTCTTCTTTGAATGCCTTCACTGTGGTCTCGTCTCCAGTTCTTTTAACAAGTTGTCATAGAACTAATGTTCGGTGTGAAGGTTTTCCTGAATTCTCTCTGTAGTCAGCCAAACTCTAGGACACAGAAAAGGCCCTAGGCATGGGCATTAAAGTCAAGGGTGGCCAACATGCCAGGTGTGGAACCATTGTCTCAGGATCTAAAACTTACTGGAAATTTCCAGACTAGTACACTGAAGTATGGTCACACGGTATCCTGAGATATTTCCCCTATCCACTTTGGGGTATTAACTGGTGTTGTCATTGTTTAGGTCTCATTTAGGTAGCCATTTTGGAACTCTCAACAAAATGGGTTTAAAACTCTTACCTTGAAATTATTTGCTGTTTATTCCTACACTCTTTGTTCCCTTCCCACCTCTATTCCTATCTTATTCAATCCCATCTATCTATCATATTCCACCATTAGCTTCTAAAGAGGAAAATATTTATGTGCTCTGAAGAGAAACCAGAGATCCACAATTAACCTTTAAACTATGTTTTGGTTTGCTGAGATAAATACCATGACTAAAAGTAACTTGGGGATGAAAGGGTTTGGCTCACACTTCCAGATAACAGTCCATCACCGAGTGAGTTAGAGCAGGAACCCAGAGCAGAAAGACCATGGAGGAAGCTGCACCCTGGCTCTCTCCTGCTTAGGTCAGTCAGCTTTCTTATACAACATAGGACTACCTACCAAGGGGTGACACCACCCACAGTGGGCTGGGCTCTTCCACATCAGTCATCACAGCCCCTAGGAGACACCCTAATCTGGGTGCTTAACCAGCACACACTATGTTATTTGTAGTGATTCTTCTAGGGCTTAAAATACGTATTTTGGCTATAGACTTCCCTCATAGAGTGCTATGTCACTGTGTAGGTGATGCGGGAATGTTTTCCCATAAGTGTACTTTCATTTCATTTTCTCATCCATTGTGCTACCAATATGTTTATAAATGAAGAGAGAGGGATAGAAATACGGCGTATTCAGAGAGGGATTGCTTCTGCAAGATATAAGCTTCATTACTAGCTTACCTCAAAGATTTTCCTTATCAACATTATTGAGGAATAATTTAGTATTCATTCAAAGCATACAGATTTGATGGCTATGCATTCTTGTGAGATTATCAATCCACAAAACATTTTCAACAGCACCCCAAAATTACCCCACATGCTTCTCAGTCTATCCCTCCCTCCAGTCCCGTCCCAAGAACACCACAGACATGCTCTTTGCCACTCACTACGGACTTACTCACAGCAGGGCTGTGCAGTGTGTTGTGCCTTCCTTATTTCAATTATTGTGCGACTTTGGGATTTATTCTTGTTCTTGGTCACTGTTATTTTCTCCTGCCAATTAGTATTCCATTTTATGTAATGCATAGACTACACTTCCATTGTTCATTTGCTTGTCAATAAACACTTCATGTATTTCCTGTTTGGAACTATTACAGATAAAATGGCTATGAACATGTATGTGTACGTCTTAAAGGAGGCACGTGACTTCTTTTCACTCAGATAGATATGTAGCAGTGAAATGAAATATGTAGTGTTGGGGGCAGAGGCAGGCAGGTCCCTGGGCTTGCTGGCCAGAGAACCTAGCTCGAATCCCCAGTACCCATGTTTAAAAAGCACAAAGGAGTGTGGGCATGTGTGCCTGTAACCCAGTATTGGGGGCAGAGGCAAGTAGATCCCTAGGGCTTGCTGGCCAGCCTGCCTAGACCAAACAGCGAGCTTCCCACTCAATGGGAGATTTTGTTTCAAGTCAACAAAGTGGATAGAGATGGAAGAAGTCACCCAATGTGCTCCTCTGGCCTCTGCATTTGAACAACACACACACACACACACACACACACACACACACACACCAAACATCTGCTCTGTTGAATTATCTTGAGATGTTGAATGAGTCAGTACATGTGAAATCTTAAGGCAGGGTTTGCTATGCTATACACACTTGAATATGCACTGGCTATTATCTGAAATTCATCCTCACAGGTGCTGAGTGGAAAAAAATTCTCCAAAGAATGACTAAATGCAGCTGAAAGACAGATGCATGAGCGTTTCTACACCCTTCCCTCCATCCCTGGTCTGGAACCCAGCCCCGCCTGACTGCTTGATATGCCCACTTGGCCAGAAGTAAATAAGAGGCAGACCCAAACAATCCTTTGAGCTGCAAAGAGCATTTTCAAAAAGCTGTTAGTTACTTTCTAAGTGAGGAGATTTCTTTCCATAGCAAATCTCTCTAGATGGTTCCAAAGGGAGGTATCAGTCACCAGCTTCCCTGGCCAGTAACTTCTGAACTTCATAACATGAAATCCCTGCTCCGCACACTATCAGGATGGTTTAAATGCAAAACTCTAACCAACTCCTTAGCCAAATGTGATGTCATTGAACAAGGTAATTTCATCCCCTTAGTTGAATTAATGTATGCAGAGTCAGGTACTGGGAGACAGGAAGATGCCAAGTTAAGGACCCATAGCTTCTATGCTCACAGAAGTAAAGTCCTCCTCCAAGAATAATGGTGCAGTGATAAAGTGGACTAGGCCATTCCTTACTCCAGGAAGAGGCTTGGGAGAG